ATTATTACCTCTTCATTGGTCGACATTTTATTCCATAATGTTACACAGTTTTGATACCATTTTATGTCTGATGATCGTGTTAGAATACATGTGGAAGCATCTGTTATTTCGGTTTCTTCTTCACTTGTGTACTAGCGCCCCCTACAGTATAACAATGAAAACACGGATTCTAGGTGTACAATTATAGCTAAAATATATTTAGTATAAGTCAAGTATACTTAAATGTCATTTTAAGTATATTTCTGAGAAGTACATAAATCCCATTTCTGAGAAGTACATAAAAAGTAGACTAAAAGTATACTTTCCTATTTTTAGTTTAAAAGAAGTATACTAATAGCACACTGGAATAAACTTCTTTTCTCGTAAGGGGCATGCAGGTCCTGAAAGAATCTTTGCAGAGCTAAGACGAACCTATTGGGTTCTCAGAGGCCGCCAGATGGTCAAAAAACACCAGAGACAATGTGCTGAATGTAGGAAATGGCATGGCAAGCCTGTTGTACCTAAAATGGCAGACATGCCTGCTTCTCGTCTGAGGATTAATCAGCCTCCATTCTGGTCGACAGGGATGGACTGTTTTGGTCCCTACACGATCAAAATTGGCAGATGGCAAGAAAAGAGATGGGGCATAATATTTAAATGTCTCACTACAAGGTGTGTACATCTCGACTTGTTATGCAGCATGGATGCAGATTCCTTTTTATTAGCCCTCAGACGATTCATAGCAAGGAGAGGAAAGCCCTTTGAACTTATCTGCGACAGAGCCACCAACTTCAGAGGGGGAGAGCGTGCACTCTCTGAAGCTTTTGCAGAAATGGAACCATCCCTCCGAGAGCAACTAGCCAACCAAAAAAAATTCCTTCATATTCAACCCACCTCACGCACCTCACTTCGGAGGAGTATGGGAGAGGGAAATTAAATCTGTCAAGGCTTCCCTCCAAGTTGTTCTGAAAGATCACACCGTCTCTGAGGAAGTCCTTAGCACAGTGTTGATCAAGTTGGAGGGCATCTTGAATTCGAAGCCTTTGGGGTATGTATCATCTGATATAGCGGATCCGGACCCTATTACCCCCAATTTGCTGCTTATGGGGCGGCGGGATGCTTCCCTACCTCAGCAATCTGCTTGGATGGCGTCGCTACAGACACAGCCAAGTGATCGCAGATCATTTCTGGACCCAGTTCCTCAGAAACTACCTGCCAAGTCTTCAGCTTCGACAGAAGTGGCAGAACATCACACCAAGCCTAGCTGTCGATCAGGTTGTATTCATTGCAGATTACCAACTTCCCAGAGCCCAGTGGCCTGTCGGTAAGGTAACCAGAGTCCTACCAAGTGATGACGGTGCAATCAGAGCTGCTGAAGTGGACATTAAAGGCAACACATACATCTGCCCTGTGGCTAAACTGATTGTGCTACCAGAAATGCCTGAAGATTAGTTTGTAGGACATTTTGTGGACTTACAAATTTCCAGTGTAAATTTGTGGGGCGGCTGTACAAAATTCCCTGCCTCACGCATGCGCGAGTCGAACTTGTCCAGACTTGTCTGGTGCATGCGCATAAAGTTTTCAGTTCAGCAGCATCCAGGATAGCAGAGTAATACGGAGTTTCCCTGGCTTTATTCCTTTAAAGTCTGTTTTTCCCTTGTGTGGTATTGCTGTGCGTTAATAACTCCAAACCACACAATTGGTGCATATCCACACAACCCAATAAATATTGAGATCAGTCATGTTCACTCTGGAGTAGCTGCAGTTCTTTCTGACCGAAGAATTAGGCCAGCTGAGTTCCAACCACCCAACTGTGCACAGAATATCCCACAGGAACACAACAAAAATACAAAACAATTGAGTCCAAACTGACACAAGTGATAACACTTCCATTGTTTATGAGGCCTGCCTGATGATTTATAATGAAATGTAGGTTATCGGTGATGTATTCACTGGTTTCTTCTAACAAAGTTAAAGAAATATGAAAATTACATATCTGACTTTAACTGTCTGGATGTAGGAAGTGTCATTTTGCCATGAACTCAAAATGAAAGTTTACTACACTTTTAAAATGAAAACGTTGGACAAGCTGCAATGTGGTGTTAGTGAATCGTCCTGTATTTTGCTTGATGAACATAACCTATAGTTTCTGCAAACCCAAGTTATGCTTATGTTAAGTATGTTGCTATATTCTCCTACAATTGCTTTATTCTGTGTGCCTTACAAGGACCATGGTCTGATAGGATATATTTTGTCATGAGTAAGTTGCAAGAAAAGATATTCAATAGGTACTTTCCCTAGCCCCTTCCTGTCATGTAGGCACAGCAGACTGGGGGCTTCTTCTTCTTTATTCTCTTCTTCCTTTTGCTTTCAGCAAAAAAGTTTACTTATTCTGGGCTTTTCTTTCCTACTCTTATCTTCACAAACTCTGTCTATTAGATACAAGAGTTTAGATATAATACTATCAGATCGTGATCTAGATCTTGAACTTATTTGCTTTAACAATTTTAACAATTATTTGATTCATTTGTTATCGCTATAATTTTACGTTTTAATCAATTTAGTTTTTTCCTTATTCAAATTTGATATCTGACATAAGCATCGCTCGTCTGCCTGGATTTCATTGCATCAATCATCATGTTTAATTCAGCGATTAGTGGTCTGTTAACTGTGTTTTCATAACCATGATCATGATATAATGTTTCATCAATGTCTACACATATGTGTGTTAATACAGAAAGACCAAAACCAGTAGTGAAGGTGACTCCAGATCAGCGTGTGTTCAGAGGAGAGACAGTCACTCTCACATGTGACATACAGGGAGGAGGAAACATTCAGTGGACATACAGCTGGTTTAAAGATGGAGACCCTCACGATACATACACAACAACAACAGCAGACTTCAGATTCAGAGCTTATTATGTTTCTTACAGTGGTAAATACAGCTGTAGAGGAGAGAGATCAGACTCACAGAGATCAGACACCAGTGCTGCTGTTACACTGACTGTATCAGGTGAGTGTTCAGATTCACATCTGTTTAATGCTCATTTAAATCAATATTTGTGGCTCAACACTTTTTCTTATTCCCTTCTGTATCAGCCACATCTTTTTACATCTGTAGGACTGAAACAATTCACTTTTGAGGCCCATTCACACAAAGAACAATAACTAGTATGCACACCAATTGACAATATCTTTCTTTTGTGCACTGCAGATTTGCCCCCTGATAAATGCTTTGAGCTCTTTAAAGTCTTAAAGATTCTGTTTGAACCCAAATATCTGCAAGTGAACCCAATGATATCATTCCTGTTTATATATATATATATATATATATATATATATATTGTTAGAGTTAGAACGATTATGAAAGCTTCATAGTTACAGTTGTCTTTAGTTATCTTTCTTGTGTGAAAAAGCCTTTAGTCATTACTATTTCAAATGCAGTGCTGCATGTTTTTATGATGCAATGATTCCATTTTTTTTTTCTGTCAGCCAAATCCCTTTGACCTAAAATGTTTACCTGAAGCTCCCTGAGATTTTGTTACATTTTTTAAAGTTAATTGTATTGTTCATGGTTCTCAGATGTTGGTTAATGGTCACAAGACATGACATGCATTAAGCACTGTAAGGGAAACAGGTCAATTTAGCTCAAAGGGAATCATTTAAGATTTTAAAGGGAATTTGGACAGAATCACTAAGTCCTTTTAGTGTCATTTAGATGCATATTTACATGGAAATGCAGTTTCTGTGCCATTCTCTGAACATAAGGACATGTTCTGTGAATGTATGAAGACCAGAGGTTAAGAGGTCTCTCATAAGGAATTTCAGTCTGTTCTCTGTGGCCGAGGTGGGGGAAGTCAATTCCAAAGAGCTCGTGATTGTAGTTATTATCACGTGATGGTCATGCGGTCATCTCTTTGACCATTTAATCTTGATTACTTGCCCTAAAATTGACAATCTCCTTGGAATTGTCAATAAGTGTTCTTTTGTTTAAATGCTGTGAGCTACTCAAAGCTGCTAGTTGGTTCAGGCTTGTGGGGCCAAGATCTGATTTACGAACATCCTGTGTCTTGGGTCTCTGTGGAATTTGGCTCCTCATGTTTCAACCATGTTTTGACCAAATCTTAGATTGTCTGATTCGGTCTGATACCCTACAGCACCGTCGCTATGATGCGAGGACCGTGAGTTAGTGGATGCGTGGTCCAACTATTTAGAGCCATTTCTTTGTTCTCGAAAATCCCCTTTAAATTCATTATTTCTATAGTCTTTGGCCTCAGCCAATTCACAATACCTTACTCAAATTTTGCAAGGCCCTGTGCGGTCGTAAATGTGATGTCATGGTGAGAGTCACTGCAGACTTGTGTGTGTAGCAATTTATTGTGGCGGTTCTGGTTTATTATAACGTACATTGTGACAAGACTTGGATCTTCATATTTAGGTGTAACCTGTTCTTTTTGAGCAACAAATCAGAATATTAGAATGTTCATGTGACACTGAAGATTGGAGTATTGATGCTAAAAAATCAGCTTTGAAATCACAGGAATGAATTACATTTTATAATATATTCAAATAGAAAGCAGTTATTTTAAATAGTACAAATATTTCACAATATTACTGCTTTTGCTGTATTTTGGATCAAATAAAGGCAGGTTTGGTGAGCAGAAGATAATTCTTTAAAAAAAACATTAAAAAATCATACTGTTCAAAAACGTTTGACTGGTAGTTTATATCACTGTACAGAAATGTAACAATATCATTTATAGTTCAACCAAAATGAAAGTTTAAAAAGATTTAATTTAGCCTCAAAAATGGAAAATGGTAAACTGTTAAATGAGTTCATGAAGTCTTCAGATGGTCTGTTGAAGTTGATTGAGATTCAGTTGCTCCTCATATGAGGTTGTAGTTGGAGGTCTTCAGCTCTCCTTCAGCAGGCGCTTCATTCTGCTTTCTGTGACGAGTCAGAGGTGTTTGTCTGAGGACGAGACGGAGCCAGAGCCTCCAGAAAACACTGAGATCAGAAAACTAATGACAGGACAAAAGCAAAACAGAACAAACATTATGAAATATAACACATTTACAAAATATATAGTTTTCACTGAAAGTGCTGTTTGAGTCACTTTATGTTTTTGGCTTTTTTAACAGATTTCCCCACACCTACACTGACTGTGACTCCAAACAGTCCTGTTTTCACTGGAGAGACAGTCAATCTGAAGTGTGAGACAAAGCCTGATCACAGTAACTGGAGATATGAGTGGTATAAAGACAGCAATGAAGTGTCTAAACGTCACACTGTAAACAGAAACACTCTCACTATTAAACAATCTAAATCATCTGATGCGGGTCAGTACACGTGTAAAGGACACATAGATGGAAGATCAGTCTCATCACACTCAAGCTCTGCTGTTTCTCTCTTAATGAAGGGTGAGTTGAATATCATTGTCCTCCTAAACTTACTCTATTAAATGTATTTATTCAGATGAAACACGTACACTGGATATACAAGCTCCTGAAATTCCTCAGCATATCATTTAAAACCATAAAACCATTAAGTTAAAGAAAACAAAAATAACACACATTTGCAGTGAGTCTCATGATTGTGTCAGATGATCTAATGTTGAATCACATTAAACCTGTAGTGAATCAGACGGAGGAGAGACCATCACTCTCCTCTCCACATCTCTCCTCTTTAACATCAGTGTTACTCAAACACAGGAACTCAGATGATCAGATCATGTTTTCTGACTAGTTCACTGAAAGAGCTCTGTCTTCTTTCTTCACAGATTTACCCACATCTACACTGACTGTAACTCCAGACAGTCCTGTATTCACTGGAGAGACAGTCAATCTGAAGTGTGTGATTGAGTCTTACAGAAACTGGAGATATGAGTGGTATAAAGGCACAGACAGTGTAATGTTACAGGCGTCTAAGCGTTACACTGTAAACAGAGGCACTCTCACTATCAATGGAGTAACTGCATCTGATGCGGGTCAGTACTGGTGTAGAGGACAGAGAGATGAAAGACCAAAATCATCACAATCAAGCTCTGCTGTTTCTCTCACTGTGACAGGTGAGTTGAATATCATTGTCCTCTTAAACTCACTCTACTGTCACACATCCATTTGTCTGAAAATTAGTTTGGAATGGAAAACTCGTTTACTCCTTACCAAATTCAGCACAGTAGGGGAGAGCGGGGTGATTTGAGCCTGTGGGGAAGTTGAGCCACCCCTTGTTTCTAGACAACCTTAAACAAAATTGGTGATATGACCTCAAATATATGAAGAGTTGACCATTTTACTAACCATGTGGTGGAGAGAAGTCCATGGGATAATTGGTAACTACATTTAGGTTAAAAAAAACAGGGATTTTTTGCTGTTTAAAGTGATTTTTGTATGTTTAACTCATGCTTCTTGTGTCTGAACAATTACAAACAAATCTGAAAAATAATAATAATAATCAAACGTGTCTATGCATTAGGAAGTTATAATATAGGTTATACTGTTTGCATGATCTTAGCTCTAAACTGCTGGATGATACAAGTTTGTTAAAATGGTAGGTGTGGGGTAATTTGAGCCGAAAGTCGTGGGGTAAGATGAGCCAATGGCTCACCCCTTCTTATGGTTATAATGTATTATTTTACTGTAATTCTACATTATATGTCATTCATTTTAGACCAGGCATTTTGTTCTTTGTTTTGAACTTGACTTTGTTATGGAAATTTTATGTAGGCCTTGTTTATAAAAATTGGCCATTGAAGTTTATATTAAATTGTTTTTCCCTGCAACATTTATAACTGGGATGTTGAGTACTATTAGCCCAGTTCTGTGAGGTCAATTGCAGTCTTTATTTTTTTTTTCCCTTCTTTTTTCTGCAGTTTGAACTTTATTTTGATATGAAATTTAAATAATCTTAAAAATGGCTTTTAAGAAGTCATCCATCAACCTATTCTATTATCCAAACCTCTTTAGCTTATAGGGTCATGGGGCGCTGGAGCCTAACCCAGCATCTTGAGCCACAGGTGGGGAAACTCCCTGGATGGATGGTCAGTCCATCACAAGGCTCACACATAGATTTTAAGAATAATTTTTATTGAATTTCTCTTCCTTTGATATATCATGAGGTGAAAATGTTCAGTTTTACGTCAGCATAATCAATGACACAGTTTATCTCCCTGATGCTCAACTTCTCACTATAGGCTCAATTTACCCCACTTTTTTTTTTGTTGGAAAGCCATATTATGACAGCAGTTTATTTTAGAATCAAAGTGATTATTCACCACATCATGAAATGTACATATATAAGTTTGACCCATTACTGTCATGTGCTTGCTTTAAACACACCGTAAGTAAAAACTGGCTCAAATCACCCCGATCTCCTCTTTATACTGTGTGTTTTTTTTCTTTCTTTTTTTGTTTGCCTGTTTCTTAATAGAATGTAAACAGATTAAATATGCAACAATAAATGATTCAAACAAGCAAAATAAAAAACAATTTTCTCATAAGGAGATTGAGTTCATAACAGTGATCATGATACTGCGATGCTATTTCAGTCAACATCTACTCATATGTGTATTAATACAGCGAGACCAAAACCTGTAGTGAAGGTGACTCCAGATCAGCGTGTGTTCAGAGGAGAGACAGTCACTCTCACATGTGACATACAGGGAGGAGGAAACATTCAGTGGACATACAGCTGGTTTAAAGATGGTTCAGTCATCAGACGCGTCACTGAGAGAGTCTACACCATCACATCTGTGTCTGATAATAGTGGTAAATACAGCTGTAGAGGAGAGAGATCAGACTCACAGAGATCAGACATCAGTGCTGCTGTTACACTGACTGTATCAGGTGAGTGTTCAGATTCACATCTGTTTAATGCTCATTAAAACAATATTTGTCACTCAACACTTTTCTTACACCTCAATAGTAGTTTTGTTATGTGCCACTTGAAACACTTTGAGCTCATTAAAGTCAATGGACTCTGATTGTGTCACGGGTCGCTACTGTGAGGAGCACAGAGCGAGGAACAAGGAGACCAGGAGTACAAAACAAAAAGGAGTTTGATTCTTTTTTTCAGGGAATCACACGTAGCACAAAGAGTTGACAAACAATTCCAGACAAGGGAGAACAGAACGGGCTAGAACTATATAGGGCAGATAACGAGAGGCAGACAGGTGATAGGGATAACTAACAAGGAACGGGTGATACTAATAATGGGAAAAGGAACAAATAAGGACAACAGGAACTAAACGGGAACATACACATGACAGATCGCCCCCCTCCCGGATGATGTGTCGTAACAGGACCATCAGGGAGGGGGGGCGGGCACCCTGGAGACTGGTGCAGGACTGGAACAGGGCGGAGACAAGGAGAGCCTCCAGCGCGGATCAGGGAGCCATGACGGAACAGGGGACTCAGGAGGTAATGGCGGATCCTATGGATCATATCCCCCCCCCTAAAATTTTCTTGGGGAAAACTAGGTATCCTGGGGATCGCTCAGGAAGCGAGCTCTGGGGATGGAGTCGACACTGGGGGGCGCTCTAGAGACGAAGGAGGGCTGGACGGGACCAGCGGAGGCGAAGGAGATGATGGAGAGCTGGACGGAACCAGCGGAGACGAAGGAGACGATGGAGAGCTGGACGGAACCAGCGGAGACGAAGGAAAGCTTTCTAGAGCGGATTCTGGGGTCACATGAACGCTTGGAAGGCTTGCAATATTAATGTTCACTGGGCTTGCCATATTATAGTCTGGTGGGCTTGCCACATTAACGGCCGGTGAACTAGAGTAGGCAGCGGACGGCGGGCTGGTTCTGGCTCGGGGCAGAATGCTCTCCAGACACCGGAGGATTCCTTCAATCCAGCTCAGTCCCGTGGTGTCTGGGAGGTCCACGGGGCGATGGTAGTTGGCCCCGAGCCAGAACAGATAATTAATGGTGGCGAAAATTAATTTTAAGAAATAAGAAAATTAATCGAGGGCCGTAGCCGCAGCGAGCCTGCAGAACTCCCAGGAATACTCGACAAAGGGGAGATCTAGGCAAGCTAAGGCGCAGAACCGAGCGGCAATTTCCATAGCTGCAGGGAAAACAAAAAACTTCTCAAAAGGCGGGAAAAAACAAACACGAGGAAAAGTCGCCGCTCACTTTTTGTTTGGTCTGGAATTCTGTCACAGGTCGCTACTGTGAGGAGCACGGAGCGAGGAGACCAGGAATACAAAACAAAGGAGTTTTTTTTTTTTTTTCAGGGAATCAAACGTAGCACAAGGAGTTGACAAACAATTCTAGACAAGGGAGAACAGAACGGGCTAGAACTAAATAGGGCAGATAACGAGGGGCAGACAGGTGATGGGGATAACTAACAACAAGGAACAGGTGATACTAATAATGGGAAAAGGAACTGGAAGGACCAAATAAGGACAACAGGAACTAAACGGGAACATACACGTGACAGATTGGATGTCAAGTTTTTATTGTTTTTTAGCTGAAAAAAAGGAAATGATAGTATTGCTCTGTGTCATTATCATACTTATAGTTGTCATTATAATCATTTTGGTGTGAATGGGCTTTTAGTCATTACTCTTTCAAGATGCAGTGCTGCATGTTTCACAAACTTTTTTTTTTCTTTTTGTCATCCAAACCCCTTTGACAAAATATTTACTTGAAGTGCTCCTCAAATTTTAAATATACTAGTATTTAAATAACAACAGCACATTGACGGTTGTCAGATATTGGTCAATGGTCGCATGAAATACAGATAAACAAATAAAATATTTTATCTTTTTATTACGTTTTATTTTTATTGTTTTTATCTTTAAATTATATATTTTTTAATTCAATATTTTACCTAGATAAAAAAGTTTGTCGAGACAAACTTTGAAGTTGGCTTGAGAAAGCCAGGCCAGAAAGTTTTAAAAGTTTACAAAAGTTTTAAAAGTTTGACGGTTTTCAATTTGAAATAGTTTAGATTAAAATATTAAAGTCTTAATATTTTGAAGGCAATTCAGTCTATTAGACAGACAGACAGACATAGATAGATAGATAGATAGATAGATAGATAGATAGTTTAAAAATATTAGATAGAAAGATTGTTAGGGTACCTGGGGTGGTTGCTAAGGTTCACAAATGTTTACAGAACAAGCAGGAACCCAGTGTGCCTGTAGTTTTCTCTATTTCTGTTTTATCAGATGATAGAAAGTCTAAGGCCTTCTCAAGCCGTACGGCTGACTCATCTAATCTGCGGCCTGTTATGCATCAAAATAATATTGCTGTTGAGACAAAATGCAATGCCATCATGAATCTAGATCAGTCTCTGTCAGAAAGAGATGCATTAACGAAAATACTAGTTTGCTATTTATGGAGGCTATATCTCTAACGCCAAGCATTTCTGCAGACTCTGTTGATCTTCTCTTTGATTCCTTTAACTCAAACGTTAAGAATGTTATTGATGATATTGCTACTTTCATGAGTGTCTGCAGAATGGTTAGGAGAGGTGGAGGTGTAGCTGCTCTATTTGAATATGTCTATCAATGCAAGCAAGTGTTATTTGGTCAGTACTTGTCTTTTGAATATCTAGGGATTGTGCTGAAAGGTGCTCCACGCATTCTGTTTATCATTATTTTTGATGATATTGCTCCTGTGAAAGTCAGCAAGAAGACTGGCAGACAAAAATTAGCTTGGAGAAAATCAACAGCAGTACAGAGTATGAAAAGACAATGCAGAAAAGCTGAGCGGATGTGGTGGAAGACAAAACTTGAAATTCACTATAGCATCTATAAAGACATCAGCATACTATCATCTAACAACCAAACTAAATCAGCATACTATCATCTAAAAAACATTGCAAGAATTAGATGTTTTGTTTCCAGTCAAGACTTGGAGAAACTTGTCCATGCCTTTATTACCAGCAGGGTGGACTATTGTAATGGTCTTCTCACCGGCCTTCACAAGAAGACCATTAGACAGCTGCAGCTCATCCAGAACGCTGCTGCCAGAGCACAAAATCTGAGCATATCACACCAGTCCTCAGGTCCTTACACTGGCTTCCAGTTATTGTTAGGACGCAGATCAAGATGGCTTCTGAGGCTCAGGGTCCAGCGTCACTACGTCTTGGTGAGTTCATCATGAATAGGCGGGCCGTTGGCGGGAGGATTGGTGACGGCGTGCCTTCAGGTACCACTCGTCAAGGAAGCCGTGGGTGGACTCTTCCAGAGCCGACCATGCAAGGATGAGATCCTCCACAGCATTAGACAGCACGCGGATGACCTCACTGTCCACGCTGGGCTGTGAAGACTGCGTGAAAGGAGGGGTGTCGGACTCCTCGCCGGAACAGACCCACTCTTCTGCATCAGATGCTGTCAAGGACATGGAGTCGTAGACGGCCATCTCCTTCTTGGAAGTGCCAAAAGAAACTAAGTCACTCGCAGCCGACGAGTGGCGTTATTCTCCCTGTGTGAAGCACAGACAAGGGAGCACGGGGAGAGTGAAGCATGCGGGCACTGAGCCGACATGACATTACTCGAGCCTGGCATCAAACCCCACTGCTCCGCTCTTTCCTTCTCTTTGGCGAGAAATAAAACGGGAGAGCAGGCAATAAGGCGATCCGCGAGCAGAGAAGGGCGGGACTCATACAGTACTCTCGCACTGAGAGCATGAGGTCTCAGTGAGCACAGCCTCTGCGTGGGCATTGCCCAGACAGGCGACACACTCACTGTGCGCATCTGCATCAAGTAGGGATTCCCTGCACGAGCTGCATTTGCGGCGCAACATTTGAAACAAAGCCGCGGAGGAAATTTGCTCAGAATTTGCTCTTTTAATAGCTGGATGGCCACAGGGGAAGGCGATCGCTTATTCCACTGCCGGGGCTCTTCTATGGCGGCTAGCAGCTGCTTGTTTGTAGGCTTCTTGACAGTATAGTCAGAGAAGAGATGGTCTTGTCGCTGAAGGAACAAATTCTGATGAAATGGTGCTCTGAGTCGACTTATATAGCAGCCGGATCCTCCCCTTCTGGCGGGCTACAGTGCCATTGGAATCAGGCTTCAGTAGCGGAGTAAACAGGAGTTACCCCATACACGCAACGGGAGATACCGTTCTATGGGGAGCTCCATTTTATGAATTGGCTAAAAATTTCACTTTGACAGCAAACCTGTGAGTGAATAGAAACACTCTGGACAACTAAATGTGACATCATGCGAGTCACTCTACACTGCAGACTCATAACTTTGTTTGTTTAATGTGGAGGTTCTGGTTTATTATACCATTGTGAATTGTGACAAGACTTCCCAGTGTTATGGATGCCTCCGTCTTTGATATTTACTTTAGTCACTGCCGCTATGGTTACAAGTGATATTCACAACTATCACAAGAATAGAAATGGACAACAGAGGTCAATACACATCAGTTTTGTATCGAAGTCATTTCTATGGCGTGTCAGGGGCATTTGTCTAAGGACGTGACAGAGCCAGAGCCTCCAGAAAACACTGAGATCAGAAAACTAATGACAGGACAAAAGCAAAACAGAAGAAATGCTATGAAATATGACACAATATTGTATAAATAGTTTTGTAACACATTTACAAAACATAATTGCTTTCACTGTAAGTGCTGTTTGAGTCACTTTGTTTTTGTTCTTTCTTCACAGATTTACCCACATCTTCACTGACTGTGACACCAAACAGTCCTGTATTCACTGGAGAGAGAGTCAATCTGAAGTGTGTGATAAACTCTGATCACAGTAACTGGAAATATGAGTGGTATAAAAGCACAGACAGTGTAATGTTACATACATCTGAGTATTACACTGTAAATGGAGACACTTTTAGTATTGTAAAAGCTATTACATCTGATCAGGCTCAGTACTGGTGTAAAGGACACATAGATGGAAGACCAAAATCATTACAATCAAACTCTTTGTATCTCTCTGTGAAGGGTGAGTCCATATCATTGTCCTCTTGAAATCACTCTATTAGATGTATGATCATTTATTCAGATTGGGACACTTACACTGAACCTACAAGCTCCGAAATTTCTAATGTAGTAAAATAGTAGAATAATATAGTAAAATAAATAAATAAATATGTAAACAAATTGCACACGTTCACAGTAAGTCTTGTGATTGTTTTAGATTATCTAATGTTGAGTCACATTAAAGTGCTGTCTTCTTTCTTCACAGATTTACCCACATCTACACTGACTGTGACACCAGACAGTCCTGTATTCACTGGAGAGACAGTCAATCTGAAGTGTGAGATTGACTCTGATCACAGTGACTGGAGATATGAGTGGTATAAAGGCACAGACAGTGTAATGTTACAGACGTCTGAGCGTTACACTGTAAACAGAGACACTCTCACTATCAGAGGAGCTACTGAGTCTGATGCGGGTCAGTACTGGTGTAGAGGACAGAGAGATGAAAGACCAAGCTCATCACACTCAAGCTCTGTTTCTTTCTCTGTGACGGGTGAGATGAATATCATTATTCTCCTAAACTCACTCTAATATGTCCACATATCTAGTGGAGAGATTATCTTGCTTACTGAATATAACTCAATATAAACTGTTTTTGCCTTCTACCTGTTAATAATATGCAAACAGATCACATCATGCAACAATAAACAATTCATACTATGCTACATTGTAAATTCAGCACTATTTTTTTTTCTAATGAGGAAAACATTTCATGATAGAGTGATGCCAATTCAATCAAAATGTACTCATATGTGTATTAATACAGCGAGACCAAAACCAGTAGTGAAGGTGACTCCAGATCAGCGTGTGTTCAGAGGAGAGACAGTCACTCTCACATGTGACATACAGAGAGGAGGAAACATTCAGCGGACATACAGCTGGTTTAAAGATGCTTCTGTCATCCCACATGTCACTGAGAGAGTCTACACCATCACATCTGTGTCTGATAATAGTGGTGAATACAGCTGTAGAGGAGAGAGATCAGACTCACAGAGATCAGACACCAGTGCTGCTGTTACACTGACTGTATCAGGTGAGTCTTCAGATTCACATCTGTTTAATGTTCATTTAATCAATATTTGTGGCTCAACAATTCCCTTGTACTCGTCTTTATCAGCCACATCTGTTCTTACAATGAACTGAATCAATTCACTTTAGTCATTAGTCTGTTTAGATGCAGAACTGTGTAAGAAACTGAGCAGAAGCATCACTATTTCAGTAGTTCATGTATATTTTGCAGAAACAACCTGCAGTCAAATATAACCAGCCAAACAATATATGTTGTGGTATAGTGCTGTGCCATGTGCATTAAAATTAAGTTGTTTTATTTTTCTTTTACACAAATGATGCTTATTGTAATGTGCTGGGTGTATAAATGTCAGAATAATTTTTCAGTTGCAGACAAATATTTAATGATTTTTCTAAATCAGACGCTTCAGGATCTGAATTTGTTCTTGTTCTCCTGCAGATCTAAAGCCAAAGCCTGAACTCACGTCAGATCCTGCAGGAGCTGCACTGACAGGAAACACAGTGACTTTGTCCTGTCACATGGATCTGTCCCCTGGATGGGACTTTTACTGGTACACACACACACTGAACTCTGAGACAAAGACAGAAACAAACTACTACAGAGTGAAGATTGATTCAGTGTCTGATGGAGGCAAGTACTGGTGTAGAGCTGGAAGAGGGGAAACAGTCTACTACACACAATACAGTGATGCACTGTGGGTAAATGTTACAGGTGAGAGAAAACATAGTATCTGACACAAAATACAGATCAGATACAATATCTACAGAACATCTAAAACTTTGAATCTAAAATTAATGCAATAATCTGTGTTTGTACAGTGAGTCCTAAAGCTGTGGTGACGGTACGGCCTGATGAACGAGTGTTCAGAGGAGAAACAGTCACTCTCAGATGTGATATAAAGTGGGGAGGAGACACTGAGTGGACGTACAGATGGGAAACAGAGGGAACAAACTACCAATATACAAACTCTGTCAGCCGAATCTCAACACAAGAGTTGAACATCAGGAGTGTTGATCACTTTCACAGCGGTAAATACACCTGTACAGGACAGATGGGAACACAAAGCTCTCAGCGCAGTGATGCTGTTACACTGACTGTATCAGGTGAGTTTGTGTGTTTGTTCATTATTATCAGTGTGAACAGCTTCTCTCTCAGTCTCTCTGTGGCTCTATAACTCCTCATGTTTTGTTCAGCTGAAGCTCAGGCAGCAGTGCGAGTGTCTCCACAGCCGTGGCTGACTGAAGGAGACTCAGTGACTCTGATCTGTGAGGTTACAGGCTCCTCTACAGGCTGGACGTTCAGCTGGTTCAGAGATGATGATCATCTGTCCGACAGCAGCAGAGGAGCTGGAGGCTCTTACACTCTCAGTCCTGCTGCTCTACAGCACACAGGAGTTTATACGTGCAGAGCAGAGAGAGGACGAGCAGCCTATTACACAAAGTACAGTAACACACAGCCACTGTGGATCACTGGTGAGTCAAATCATGTCAACATCTCTATTTTAAACTAATTTGATCTGTAACGTTACACCAGTCAACAATTATTAGAACATGTTTTGACAATGTCTGAAAAAAAAAATGTTACCTTTCAATTTTCCCTACTGAAACATCATATTTACATTAAAATTACAATTGTAGTGATATTGAAAATCTGAAATGTCTTTGTAAGTGGATCTCAAATGACACAAGCTGCATAACTGGGTTTCATCTCTGTTTCAGGTGTCTCTGCTTCAGTGTCTCTGGTGGTCAGTCCCAGCAGAAGTCAACACTTCTCATCTGACTCTCTCTCTCTGAGCTGTGAGGATCAGAGTAACTCTACTGGATGGTCAGTGAGAAGATACACAGACAGAAACACAGAAGATTGTTCAAAACTAACAGGATCTACATGTCGAATCGACTCCCTCAACACATCTGACGCTGGAGTTTACTGGTGTCAGTCTGAATCTGGAGAGAAACGTCACCCTCTCAACATCACTGTTCATGGTGAGTTGACTGATATAAAACTAGATCAAATATAATAGATGATCTGTTTTAATACACATGTTGCCTTCCTCATCTTAATAGATGTTTGTTTATCTGTACAATATGTGTCACCATCATCTTCCTACATGCATGTATCTCTTGTGTTGTGTAGATGGTGATGTGATTCTGCTGAGTTCTGTTGATCCTGTGATTGAGGGAGATACTCTGACTCTACACTGTTTACATCGATCCACAAACTCCTCGATCCTCAGAGCTGATTTCTATAAAGACAGATCACTCGTCCAGAATCAGACAACAGGAGAGATGAACATCACGACTGTCTCAAAGTCACATGAGGGTCTGTACTACTGTAAAACAGAGAGAGGACAGTCACTGCACAGCTGGATCTCAGTCAGAGGTGAGAGTCAGTGGAGTTCATTCACTGTCAGCTGATTCGATTTTATTCATGAGCAATTAGTTATTGACAGATGTGTTTATTCTTTCACATAACTCACAGGAACTAAAATATAACTAACAAATCACATATACTGACATGTACACACCTCGTCAACGTCCTATTCAATGAAATGAAGAGTGCATTAACGACAGCATTAGAATAAAATCTTGCCCAAAATAAAATTGTCATCATTTACTCGCTCACTCACGTTCTTTTCTTTTCTTTTCAATGAAAAGTGAAACATCAATTCTTCCACAAAAGAAAGTCGGTGCACCCGAACGACATGAGTTTGAGTAAATGATGACAGAATAATAATTTAAAGGGTAAATTAGCTATTTAATACAGAGCTAAGGTGGCATTGTGGTGGAATAAATATGACATGGGAGGAAACATTATAAAAATAATGCTTTTTTGTTTACTCACAAAATGTTGGGTTCCTCAAGAAACTTCCTGAAAGCCTTTAGGAGCTCTGTAATGTTGCTCAATAATGTGCTTGTGTCTCTGTTTTTCAGTGTCAGGTTCAGGTCAGATTTCTGTCTTCAACATCCTCAGTTCTCTTCTGGCAGCTTGTCCGTATCTGCTGGCGACAGTCGTGCTGCTTTTCAAATGCTGCAGAGCGAGAGGTAAAACTTCTGTCTGATCCGTCTCTCCATCTCAGTGACTTTTACCCAAACGATTCACATTCACTGATGATGGTCGTTCATAATCAATAACTGCAGTGGAAGCAAAACAGAAAGTGTGAAATTTAATTATAAAAATAAATGTTTTGTCTGTGTGTGTGTGTATTTCACAGTTATATCTACTGAAGACCAAAGCCAGTACACCGTAACAGTGGAATAATCATCTATTATTCTCCAAACGGCAGAGTCACAGGATGCTGGAGTCTCAGGCTGAAGGCTGGGAAACACACTGGACACGGCCAGTCCATCACAAGACTAACACACACACATTCACACTCTCACTCAATTTAGTGTCTACTTCACCTGTGCTGCAGATTAGATTGTGGGAGAAACCAAACCAACACATGGAGAACAAGCAAACTCCACACAGAAAGGCCTCCTGTTCATCATCTACTCCAAAACAAGTTTCGTAATGTATCAGTCAAATTCACTGTAAGCTATTGAAAGTTGCCCTTTTTAAGACACTCAGAGAACAAACAAAACTGTTAAATAAAAATAAATACAGTTCGCAGCAGTTTATAACTCATTATTATCAATAAAAGCTGAGACAGAGACATCGCTAATAATATCTGTTATTAAAACTGTATTGGATGTGAGGAATGGGTTCATTATGACTTTTGAACAGAAGAGACCTCCATCAATAAGACTGAACAACTTTTATATTTAAACTGAGCATTTAAATATCTAAGACTTATTATTGCAGATATAGAGTGACAAGTGATATTAATATCATTGTATGTAGTCTGCTATACTGTTATAAAGATCTCATTGATTTACAAGCGTCAGAATTTTGGCCATACATATTAGCATCTGCACCTGAATCAAATAATTGCATTATTGTTGCTTAGTTTGGGCCTCAGCATTTTGTCCCCTCTTTTTCAGCGTGAGCTTCATTTTCTCACTATAGCATACTATGAGCCATAAAAAGCTGATGTATTAATTATGAAAGTGTTTCGTTGTTTTCTTTGCTTTTTGATTTTGTCAAAATGTTCAATAAACTATGATATTTCTAAAAAAAAAAAATTGATTGTCTAACTATAATTTCATAATTTTAGGCTTTACAGGGTTAAATATACTTTCTCTTCTCATCATACCTTTCCCGTTCACATATTACATGTTCTACACAAAATGTATTAAAAAAATTTCATAAAATTCAAGAGCAGTTTTTGAAGGGGACACAAATAATACAGCTAGAATTGTACTTGTAAGGATATGTATAAATAGAGGAAACCTTACTACTATTAGTGCAGCAGGGAGACCATGGCGTTATTTTAATGACAAATGTCTAGAGCGCATTATTGTAGCACGAAAGCACATTAATATAATGCGCGAGCGCGAATCTCTTCCCTCGCACGCGGATTTTCTTTGCTCTGGCACAAAACCAGACTCCCGCTCTCAGATACAAGCTACTCTTGCTCAGAGAGTGCGTGCACTTAAAACGTGTCTCTCCCAAGCGGCAACCTCCCGGTCTCTCGCTTGAAGCCAATACGGAAGTGACTAAAACTATTGGAGTTTCTAAGTGTCCTTTTTTGGAAAGACTTCTAAATTTATCTTGAAAAAAGCTTGCAGAAAATATAGATTTTTGAGAATCACCCTTCAATCTTTTGGTTTACTTTGCTGGATATAGCAAATGATGACAAAATAAACATTTGAAACAAGATAAATTGTCTGCTTAATTTCATGTCGGACTCGTACCTGCAAATGTTCAAGTTGGTTGAGTAGCCTTTGTTAAAGCAAGAGTCTTCATGAATAGCTTATGCTGTACAATTATGTTATGTCCTTTATTGTCTTATCCAGAAATGAAAACTTTTTTCAGAGCAGGAAACATGTAATTAATTTAATGTAGGAGAATAATTGTAGACGGGTGTTATTTGCGCACGCACCAGCAGGCGCCTCACGTGAGTCAACATGTGTCAACAAAACCAGGAACTATGCAGCGCTAAATATACAGTGTTATGTCAAAATGCTTATTTATTTAATTTTGAATGAAACAAATGTAATCCTGATAGTATTCCCACTTTTTACAAAATGTAACTGTAATCTGAATACTTTGTTTTTTGATGTAACTGTAACGGATTACAGTTACTAGATTTTTGTATCCTGATTATGTAACGCCGTTACATGTATTCCTTTACTTCCCAACCCTGGTGATGGAGGATGATATGGGTCTTCTTGTTGTCCCGAGTGGCGTTTCCAGCCAACTCCAAAATCTCAGCAGTGAGATACTTGAGCACAGCAGCCAAATAAACCGGATCACCGGCATCGACACGCTCGGCATAGTTGCCTTGGCGGAGAAGCCTGAGAAGTTAGCGCAGGCCTTTCCACCGGTCTTACCTCTTCCACTCATTGTACTTGAAAACTGTTCTTTGACTACGTAGCGTAACAATTAACTTTTCTTCTTCTTCTGGCTTTTTATGGCGGTTGGCAAACAAACAAAAAGGTGCATTCCTGCCACCTACTGAGCTGGGGTGTGATTCATTGATGGAACAGGAAGAAAGACTGAGGAAAAAAAAAATGAAGGAAAGGACCACTAATAATAAATTGGCTTCTAAATCCTCTTAAACAGATGCACCTTAAATATTTCTTAAATATTTGTATTAATGCTTTATATACTCTATAACTTTCCAAGCCATTATTCAGCAGTTTTTTTAAGTGTAATATTTCCTATCCCCATTTCTTTTAACTCTTCCACCAGAATTATCCTTTCATTTTGATAAGCAGTGCAATA